CGGGTGGGAAGAGTAACCTTGCCCCCTTTCTGCTTCCTCATTACCAATATTGGCAGAAATTTATTCAGATACACGGTGGTCCTCTATTGAAGTTTTGACCTAAACTAACCCTTGTTAGTTAAGAAGATAAGGATGGAATCTCAAGCCCGGGTGGTCTGGTTTCACAAGGGAGAGTTCCATGCATTTGCTGGGAAACTTAGTATGTTTTTGCTGCCCTGGAATACAGAGATGCAGAGAGTAATGGGAAAGATGAGGGAAGGGAAAAGTGGGAAAGCCCCTCCCTACGGTGAGTGTTATGACCCCTCCCACACCAGACCCCAATCTGGAAGAGATTTGTTCTGCATTCCCAAACAGGGATGATTACAGCTCCTCTGGAATCAGCTTTCCCACCCCACACTGTGAGAGTATGTGTGTGTGGGGGGGGATGTTGTCTCATGATCTTCCACTGAAGGGCTGAAAGACTCATCCAGCTAAAGTTAACTTTAGCTGAGCACTGCCAGCTCAGGCAAAACACAGACTGAAATGATGTTCCTTGACAGGGCATGGGTTATACACTGCACACACCCCTTAAGTAGGAAGAGGATCGGATGAATGAACGAGTGGGCTGGCTCTGCTCTCCTCATGCCCAAGGGAATGAGCAGCTGCTCTAGCCAGTAGTTGCTCAGACATCATGCCCTGGTGCACCGAGAACCATGGGTTTGGTACAAAGCCCCACCTCATCAATAGAGGCCAAAAGAATGTAGTGCTCCTGCATGTTAATAATAAATTGGTCTAGCAAGTCTGGCTTCTCACATACACACAGAGACACACAGACACAAAATACAAGTGGTATGTAATTGTTAACCCTATTTCACAGGCACCCTTAACCTCCAATACTAGAAAGACACCACATTAAGAGAAGGTTAACAGCAACTTTATTTTCCATGGATCATGAAAATAACCCAGATGCCGCAGGGCTTTTTTTCTGGGGGAATGCACCAGAACAGAGTTCCAGAACCTCTTCGACAAAATTCTTTTAAAAATGTAAAAGCTCATGAGTTTTCAGTGTACAGGTTGAAAACTTAATTTCCTTCTTGAGACTTCTGGCACCTCTTAAACAACAACACCTGATTATGATGATTCTAAAGTCCCAGCAGTGTACCAGATATGACTTGAAAACAGCCTTTAAAACATGTGCTGAACACATATACATGAACAATGCCCTCTACTGAGCACCCTTGGTCTATCAAATTTGGTATTGTCTTGGTATTGGAGCTGCGGTGGCTCAAGTGGTTAAGACGCTGAACTGCAGGCTGTGGAAGGTCAGTAGTTCAGCAGTTCGAGACTCGGGTGCCACATGATGGAGTGAGCTCCCATCTCTAGTTCCAGCTCCTGCCAACCTACCAGTTCGAAAGCAAGAAATTGCAAGTAGAGGTAACAGTGTTCCATGCGCCTTGGTGTTTAGTCATGCCGGCCACATGACCAAGGAAACTTCTTCGGACAGTGCTGGCTTCTTTGGCTTTGAAACGGAGATGAGCACCGCAACCCTAGAGTCGGATTCGACTGGCTTTTGAGCAAGGGAACCTTTACCTTTATTCTGACTGGCAGCAGCTCTCCAGGATCTCAGGTAAAAGTTTTTCATACCACCTCCTTACAGTTCTTATAAAGAAGAGATGCAGGGGTTAAATTTGGTATCTTCTGCATACCAAGTGGACACTGTACCACTGAGCCATCCCCCCTCCTGAGAAGGTAAATGTTTCCCTTGCTTGAAAGCCAGTTGAATCCGACTCTAGGGATGCGGTGCTCATCTCCGTTTCCAAGCCAAAGAGCCAGCGCTGTCCAAAGACGTTTCCATGGTCATGTGGACAGTATGACAGTATGACTAGATGCCAAGGTGCACAGAACGCTGTTACCTGCAGGTGCCTTTGGAATTCTGGCCCCACTGACTTTCTAACTTGGCGGACATCGAGAAAGGTATTGGCAGGCACCACTTTGAAGATCTCTAACTTAAATAAACTTCAGAGAGGGGGAGCCAGTTTGGTGTAGTGGTTAAGTGTGCGGACTCTAATCTGGGAGAACCGGGTTTGATTCCCCACTCCTCCACTTGCACCTGCTGATGTGACCTTGGGTCAGTCACAAGCTCTGGCACAGCTGTTCTTGAAAAAGAGCAGTTTGTGTCAGAGTTCTCTCAGCCCCACCCACCTCACAGGATGTCTGTTGTGGGGAGGGGAAGGGAAAGGAGTTTGTAAGGCACTCTGAGACTCCGAGTGAAGGGTGGGGTATAAATCCAATCTCTTGTTCTTCTTCTATGTTGGGTTTGGTTCAGGCAAGGCAGAAATCCATATGGCAGGCAGAAATTCAATGGGTAAAGCTGTTTGGTTCCATGCCTGTCCACAGAAAGAAAAGTATATGGAAGGAAACAAACAAAAAAAAAGGAGAGGGGGGGAGGGAAAAAATGTCCATAGGAAGATCATGGTAGGCAATGCTCCCTCTAAGCTGTGGAGTCTTGTGAGCAAAAATCTTACTTTGTGAGCTACTAGCATTAAAGTTGTGAGCGAGCAATTTGGCTACTGCATAAATCAGTTTGCTCTGGAGTCCTCCTTCCTGAGCTAAGACAAAAATGTGTGAGCCGGGGGCTAAAAAACTGTGAGCTAGCTCACGCTAACTCAGCCTAGAGGGAACACTGGTAGGCATCAATACGTTTGCCCAAAAAGCTGGTTCAGAGAGAAGAAAGGAGAGAGCACCAAAGGCAGAGCCCTGGATACCTACTAACAGAAAGAAAGATGGAAGAGGAGGAAAATGCTTTTTAATATCACTCAGAATCTCATTGTACTGTCTTCAAGATCCACTATGTTGTAAGAACCACATCCAACTTAAGTCTATAGCCCTCTTAGTGGTGGAAAGTGCCATCAAATCACAGCCAACTTAGATGACTCAATTGGGTTTTTCAAGGCAAGAGACTTTCGGAGGTGGTTTGCCATTACTTACCTCTACAGAGCAACCCTGGACTTCCTTGTTGGTCTCCCCATTCAAGTACAAACCAGGGCCAACCTTCCTTCACTTCCAAAATCACAGGCCATCCAGGTCAGGGCCAGTAGACTTCTTAGTTGTAGGAAAGAGCTGGGAATGGATCAGGAAGTACCTGCTGAAAGCTCCTACTCTGCATTAGTGCCTGCTCCTGCTCAAGATCCCTTGTTCTTATCCACCACCTGCTCCTACTTCCATGCTTTTCCTTCTACAACCTCATCCCAAGTTCAGTGAGCCTCCACAAGTATTCTTTCCAGATATGCTATGCACCTCAATCAACAGCCCAGTTCTTCACTACAGCATAAAGGTAAAGGTTTCCCTTGCTCGAAAGCTAGTCGAATCCAACTCTAGGGGGCAGGGTTCATCTCTGTTTCCAAGCCGAAGAGCCAGTGCTGTCCATAGATGTTTCCGTGATCATGTGGCCAGCATGCCTAAACGCCAAGGTGCATGAAATGCTGTTACCTTCCCACTGAAGCGGTACCTATTACTCCCCTGCAATCATGGTATTGTAAGATGTGATGAAAAGGCATAGCGCCCCTGCCCCATGTGCCTTCAAACAGGCTCCATCTCTGTTGCTAGGAGGAGGAGGAGGAGGCATCTGCATGGGTGGTCTTTGGGATCTGCCACTAGAGATTTCCAGCAGCCTCTACATTCGGATTGCCGTGTCACTCATCGGACTAAGCATGAGGTCAGTCTACCCTCTGAAACTGTACTCTTCTCAGCCTCTGTCCCAGCTGCACCAGACTGTACTCATGGCTATGTAGGAGAGTCCCCCATGTTTCTTTCTCACTAGGAGCCACTAGGAGTTTCTTTCTCACTAGGAGCCGCATGGCATGTTTGCGCTGGCATGTTATCTCAAGTCTTAACAAATTGTTGGCACACAGAACCGCTGCCCGTACCTTGGTAAAGTTTGCACATGTCCAAGGTGAGGGTTGTGACAGAATCATTTTGAAACTGTATGGAAAATCCCACATTAAAATGCCAGTACACAATCCCAACAATAGGAGATCACTATTCTGCCCTGCCTAGCAAACAGGCTGCAGCCATGTTCTGAATCCCCTCTTGGGCCATCAATGTCAGTCTAACTTCCCTCAGGATAGTTGCAAGAGGAAAAGTGGGAGAGAGCCACCTTTTCTCCTCACCTTTTCTCCTCACAAAGGTTCTGGGCCTTTAACAGCTGCATCACAGATAGAAATTCAACAGGTTGAAGCAGTCCTAGAATGGAGATACAACTATGAGGAAAGCTGTGCTTTTTCTCCGGATCCCAGCTTTGGTCTTTTCACAGGAACAAAAAAAACCCCAGAAAACAACCCATGTTCTCTGGATCACTCCTTGGTTAAAATGTTCCTTGAATTGGAACTTTGCCCCAAAACCTAACAATTTGGGTGCACTGACCACGGAAACGTCTTCGGACAGCGCTGGCTCTTCGGCTTTGAAACGGAGATGAGCACCGCAACCCTAGAGTCGGACTCGACTGGCTTTCGAGCAAGGGAACCTTTACCTTTACTTAAATGCAGTGCCTTTTCATTATGGGGTGGTGGGGGAAAGAAGCCCTAGTTCTTTGCTTTGGGGCAGCCTGGGGGACTAAAAATGGATCTCAACCCAAACAAAATCTTTTTGGTTTAAGCAATCTAGTGGTGTGGGAAGGGGAGTGTGGCAAACGCTGAACATGCCAGTGTTTAGTTCCACTTCACGAAGGAAAATACTGAAAATTCCAGATTCTTACTGAGAGGGAAGTCTTATTTGGAAAGACAGGGGGTGTGTGTGTGGTGGGGGGGGGAGGACTGGGGAATCATGAGTTTCTGAATTTCCCTCGGCTGGACTTTTGAAATTAATTCCGTCTTCTCTGGACTTCATTCCCAGGCGCCTGAGGATTGGTCAGCAGGCGCTGAAACTCCACCTACGCCTCTCCACACATTCCCTCCTCGTAGCCTCCTGCCTCGTTCGCTTGCTCCAGCGGTTATGCCCGCAGAGAAGGAACGGCTCAGAGAAGGCACGGATTTGGGGGCTACGGCGGCTTTGGCATCCCCGGCCGGGGTCGGAAAAGTTCTTGGCCGTTCTGTCACCCTTTGTCGCGGCTCTTCTCTCGTAAAGCCAAGCGTCTTTAGAAATCCCAGAACGTCGGTTTTGCAAGGGAAAGGTAAACTCTTCGGGTTTTTTGCATGCGTGTCACAAAAGTTTAGGGTCATCACGTGGAATGGATGGGGATGGTGGCAAGAGAGAAGAAGGACGCGGGAGAAAAGCCCACGGGCTGTGTGCGCGGGGGGGAGGGGGTCCTCAAAGGAGACGAGGTAGAGACCCCCCCAAAAAAATATTACTGGAATAAAATTATTGGAAAGAGAGGAAGGGATAGGCGAGGGAAACCGTCGGGGACATTGACTGAGAAAGGAGCCAGAAGAAGGGGGTGAAGAAAAGCGGGCCCTTTTGAGGAGATATTATAGTACTAACCGCAGACTATGAAAAGAGAAGAAATTAAAGGAAAAGGAGAAAGGGAAGACGGGGGGTGGGGGTGGAGGGAGGAATGACTGGAGAGCGAAGAAGAATGGGATGGAGAAAGAAAGAAGGGGCAAAGAAGGAATCCTGCACAGCAGCAAGAAAGGGGGGGGGGAGAAGACACGAGGGGGGGGGAGGGAAATGGACCGCGTTGTGATTTCCAGCCCTGGAGTCACCCACTTCTTCCTGCACGAAGGTTCCTTTTCTTCTTCAGACAGGAAAGCCACCCACAGTTAGGAAAGGGGGGGTGGGGCTGACTTTGACGTGAAAGACCCAGACGGAGCCAGTCTGGAGAAAAGCTGAGGGAAATGTCTCCTTCTTTTCCAAGGGGCTTGAGGTTGGCCCATTGCGTTCAGAAAACAGAGATGGGGAAAGCTTGAGGGGTTGCAGCCTGGCCCATTCTCACGGGCACTCTAAGAGGATGTCTTCCAGGCCTTTGCTTATTTTGGTTCCTTTTTTATCCCGCTCTAAAAAAGTTCAAGGATCCCCCCCCCCCATTTTCGCTTCAAAACAACCCTGTAAAGCAGACTAGGTTGCAACATTGTGATCAGCCCAATCAGTAAATCACAATGTCTCAACCTAATCTGTTTTACAGGGTGGTTTTGAACCTGTGAGCGACATGGCCAATCAGGGATCTGAACCCTGTTCCCCCCCAGTCCTAATCTAGTACTCTAACCACCACACTACATTGTCTGTCTCTGGATGGTCCAGCTGTCAAGGTTTTTACTGCCAATCTGCAGTTGCAAAACTCATTGCACTGAAACTTCCAAAACTTCACATGAACCACCTTATTTCCTTATCTGTAATTCAATAGTTCCAATTCTGTTCTCAGACTACTTTGAATTATCTCTTCTCCTTGGCATGTGTGCTGTTAAAGGAAGCTAAGTTGGGTCCTGGCAGCTTCAACCAAACAGCCATCTGTATCCCTTCTTTCCATTTCTTGTTTGAGCTCTTTCGTCAAAGAGACTAAATGCCTCTCTTGATGGCAATCGACTTGAAATCCTTTTGAAATTGCTAGATCAATTAAAAATGGCTGACATGGTGCTCTGGTGCCACTAAAGGAGGCATCAGTTATGTTTTGTGTAGCTATGCTAGTCTGAGCTACAGCAAGAGGTCTTCTAAAGCAAGGGACATTGTACAAGCCTGATTAAGGGACAGAGGAAGCTGAAGGGGAAAGACTGTGACCATTGTATGGTGTAAAGACTAATCCCTCTTTAGGATTCTTGTAACAGGACAGGAATGAAGAGAGCCTGGATGTTCAAAAGATACTGGAGAAGCAGACGGAAGTGCCTAGGTAACTGGCTGCAATCCTACATGCACCATTTTGGAAGGAACACCTCGGAGCAGACGTGTTTAGGATTGCACAGTACATGGATTAGATGAATAGACTGAAGGGCAGATGGAGGAACAGAACAAAAGCCATTGTATGTCTGTTGCCCAGACCAGAGAGTCACAAGCTTTCTTTAAACAAAGGTCTTGGCTTATGTGTTTGAATGAGTAGGAAGGATATTTGAGTTCCTGGGCAAAAGAGTTCCTGGGCACTTGGGCAGAGACTTGGCTGTGCTGGGCTGGCAGAAGGAAGAAGGAGCAAAGCCAAAGATGGAAGATAAGGAGCTCTCTGAAGCCCATGGTACAGTGTGGCTTTGGCATAAGCCTGAAGTCGTCCAGCTGCAAGGGAAGGGCAGTGCCTGCTCTTGGCAAAGGGGCAGCAAGCTCTAAAGGCGTTACAATTCCTACTTTGAGCTAGTCAGAGACTAAGGGGAGAGAAAAGGCTTTTACACAGGCTATTGCAACCAAGGAACAGTTCATCATCTTGGGCAGGATGTCCTGTAGAATCTTTTCTGTTCCCTTCCCTTTCTTTCCTCCTGCCCACTATCTCTATGGTGAAGCTTGTGAGCCCTTTGGGCTTCAGTGACAAAGGGAACCTCAGTGAAGGGTAGCTGGGATAGGAGGAAACTGAGATGGGAAGAAGTCATCATCCTTTCTGGGTTATTAATGTACTACTGTTAAGGCCAGGGATTAAAGTCCTGTCCTTTTAGCAGAGGTTTAATATGCAGAAATGTCTAGTTGAAGCTTTTTGTGCAATGACATTAAATAACAAACTGATAGTTTTGCTGCAGATAAAACCTGATATTAAAGGGACAGCTAGAGGTCAGCGCTTGTTTTTTCTCCCAGCCTTTGCAATTGGAAAGAAACCACATAAACCTGTGTAAATTAGAATGCAAGGAACTACAACACACACACACACACACACACACACAAACACACGGGTTTCATGCTATAGCTGCAATAATGATGAAACAAAATCTTTAAAGTCAAACATTATTATTGCAAGCATGGGATGGAAGTTTGGATTTGCCAGTTGGCTACTGTTAAAAATAGCATAAAGAAAGAGTTAAATGGCAAACTACATTGATCAGCTAGATATGAGTCCAGTAGCATCTTAGAGACCAACAAAATTTCTGGGTATAAGCTGCCTTTCTTTGAGATTTAACCCTCAGTAGCTTATACCCTCCAAAATCTTGTTGGTCTCTAAGGTGCATCTGAATTCGAATTTACTACTGCAGATCAACACAGCTTTCCTGGAACTATCCATATTGATCAGAATTAGATGCAAAAGAATTCAGGGCTTTAATATTTTATGAGGAAGAGAGAACTTTGCCGGTGCAGCGTTTCTCCACCCTGCCACGCTATTACAGGAGGTTACAAGATCCTGATCCCTTGTAGCAGGCTGATCATCCTTTCTACCTTAACCAGAATGTGTATTGCAGCATGTGGTAGTTTTATGTCTCTGCAGAGCAGGTGGGACTCAAAATTCTATCTCCCGTTTTCTGCTCTTTTCGGGCACTAAATTCTCTTGGCCAGTGGTCCTCAACACATGGGCTGTGACTCTATGGTGGAATGCAGATCCTCACTTGCTGGGTTGTGAACCTGTCTAGTTATGCAGGGCTGTTTCTTTGCTGTCTTTTGGAATGGCCTCCTGCTAGTGAACGTGTACTGAAGCCGCCCCCACCCCCAACTCATGGTTCTCTTCTGGTGCTGAGTTTATGTTTCCAGTCCCTCGTTCTTTTGATCTCCAGCTCTCATTCCAGGCCTTGACACCAGTGATGTCATACGTTTGGCTCCCCATCTTCCTGTTTCATGACTCTTGATGTCATGTGCTTGCAGCTCAGTGTGTCTCTGGGTCTGGAAGGGTTGAAGATCACTGTTATAGGCAATGGAGAAGTTTTGTGGTATGTGAAGCTGTGAGGTCTAAGGAGAGGCTGATGAATTTACATTCAGGTTTCCCATATGGCTCTTGTGCCTTCAGAATACACATATCAAGCAGAAAGTCTGATCTTCCCAGCATAGTATAATACATTGTTGGGAAAAGATTTGGCTGTTGGGTTTCTGCTTGTCACAAAGTGGTTAAAGGCACAGGAACACTGCTTGAAAAAACAGGGCAACCCTAATGTATATTGACTGTATTTTAGGTTGTCTCTGTTTTTCATACAAGAATGCTGTGCCTTTATCAGAGCAGTATCCAGAGCCAGTTTGGTGTAGTGGTTAAAAGTGGCAGACTGTACTCTGGAGAACCGGGTTCAATTCCCCACTCCTCCACACAAAGCCAACTGGGTGACTTTGGGCCAGTCACAGCCCCAAGGATTCCTCTTCTTGAAGGGAGGCACCAAAATCTTCACAGGCATTTCTTGTCTAGTTAGGACTGGTTCTAACATTACTTTTCCCTGCTTTTTTCTTTAAAGGCATATGTGAGGAAGAGGAGAGAAAATTGCAGGGATTGAATGTTTGTCATGTGTTAGCAGTCAGTAGGAAGTCTGATGCAGACATTGATCATTTGGAATACTGTGTGCAGTTCTGGTCACCACACCTTAAAAAGGATATTATAGCTTTGGAAAAAGTGCAGAAAAGGGCAACTCGACTGATAAAAGGGTTGGAACACTTTCCCTATGAGGAAAGGTTAAAGCGCTTAGGGCTCTTTAGCTTGGAGAAACGACGACTGAGGGGTGACATGATCGAGGTTTATAAGATTATGCATGGGAAAGAGCAGGTAGAGAAAGAGGTACTTTTCTCCCTTTCTCACAATACAAGAACTCGTGGGCACTCCATGAAATTGCTGAGCGGTCGGGTTAGAATGGATAAAAGGAAGTACTTCTTCCCCCAAAGAGTGATTAACACATGGAATTCACTGCCAAGGAAGTGGTGGCGGCTACAAGCATGGATGGCTTCAAAAGGGAATTAGATAAGCATATGGAGCAGAGGTCCATCAGTGGCTATTAGCCACAAGGTATAGATAGGGGCTCTGGAGCAAGTGATGCTTTGTCTTCTTGGTGCTTGGGGGGGGGGGTCAACAGTGGGAGGGCTTCTAATGTCCTGGCCCCACTGGTGGACCTCCTGATGGCACTGGTATTTCTGGCCACTGTGTGATACAGAGTGTTGGGCTGGATGGGCCTTTGGCCTGATCCATCATTGGCGTCTCTTATGTTCTTATGATTTTATGATCAGATAGAAAGGAGCATTGTGGACTCCAGGTATTTTATTTATTTATTTTTATTTATTTTATTTATTGTCAGATTTATACCCCACCCTTCCTGCACTTCATTTTACTTCATTTTATACCCTGCCTTTCTCCCCAATGGGACCCAAAGCAGCTTACATCATTCTCCTCTCCTCCATTTTATCCTCACAACAACCCTGTGAGGTAGAGTGTGACTGGCCCAAGGTCACCCAGTGAGCTTAGGGATTCAAACTTGGGTCTTGCAGCTACTAATAAGACACTATTATGTTTTTGGTATTTTTATCTCGCTGTCTTTCTGCATGCATAATAAAGAAGGGGGAAATAACATCAGAAATTGCTTTGGGCCTGTGACATCATCACGGTCACTCACCTACATTGTCATTTTATGGCAAATACTGTGACATTTCAAAATGACCTTTAAATAACATTATTCCAAACTGCTTCACAAAGATTTTAAATAAGCATTAGCAATTAAAAAAAAAAAAAGCCAGCTAAGCTTCTTATCCACCATAGCAATGAATAGCCAAAAAATGTTTGTTTTGGGGAAAGAGGGGGGTGTTGCTACAGACAGGGTACTCCCCCTGCTCTGGTGCTAGTGAATATAGCTCACAGTAATTTTACAGGTAAACCAGTGTTCTCTTTAGCAGAAATGTACCCATAGCTTAGTGGGTCCCAGATGCTTGTATAATGTTCCACGTTCAGTCCTCCAGGTAGCAGGGCAGAGAAAGACCCCTGCCTGAAACTTTGGAATAATATTGCTGGACAGCATGTTCCAATTATCCTAACTTCATATGTTCAAAGCTACCCCCTTTTGTTATGTGGGGACATGATACAGTAAATGCTGGTACTGAAACGGGCTCATGCAAGTCATGTAGAGGATGAAAGCGTTTTTCTTTTTGTCATCTAGAATGGCTTTTTATCCATCTAACGCATTTCTGTCCCAAGGAGCTCAGGGGAGCAATCACAGTTCTCCCTTCCTCCATTTTATCCTCCCAGTACCACTGCAAAATATGCTAGACCAGGGGTCCCCGACCATTTTGAGCCTGTGGGCACTTTGGGAATTCTGACATGCGGTGTGAGCACGGCAATAAAACGGCTGCCACGGGAGGTGGACCCAAGCATGGAATGGCTGCTGCAAGAGGTAGACTCACAGGCACCACATGGGGGGGGGGAGGACCTTTGTGCTACGTTGACAGCTACTGGCCCAAGGTCACCCGTGAGTTTTGTGGATAAGTGGCCAACACTCTTACCACTGTATCACCCAGCTCTTTCCATGTAGAAAGGTTCTCCCTTTCCATGAACTTCCCTATATTCTATGTGTAAAATGGGGGGGGGGGGGCTGCCTGCTGAAAGAATAGCGGCATTACCACCACCCCCAATCCAGAAAATAAAACATCAGCCAATAACTGCTTTAAATTCCAGTTGGAGGTTTTTTCGTCTCTTTTTTTTAATCTTTCATTTGCCAGCTTCTAACCCTAGTAGATAAGAGGGGCCCTGAGTGAACAAACAGAGTCAGGACAGGGAGGGAGACGTGGCACTGGCACAAATGAGCACAGCGACTCATGGCCGAAGCTGTGGCATTCTAGCCGGCCCTGATAGCTGCTCTCTCTCCCAAGGTGAACCATGAACACATGGAGGGTGTGGGGGGGGGGATGGAGGTTGGGGGGGGAGGTAACAGAGTAAGAGGAGGTCTTCATCAGAGAAATAGTTACAACAGCGTGCTCAAAACAGAAATGAGATTATGTATGAATGTGCAATCTAGCAACATTTTTTAATCTGGCCTTTTGAAATGTTGAAATCTGAGCACAGATAGATATGTATGGAACCATCATGCATGACAACCTGCACATGGTGAGCATTGTCCATGTATAGGGCTGCCAGTTCTGGGTTGTACATCAGGAGCTGCGGTGGCTCAAGTGGTTAAGATGCTGAACTGCAGGCTGTGGAAGGTCAGTAGTTCAGCAGTTCGAGACCCGAGTTGCCGCATGATGGAGTGAGCTCCCATCTCTAGTTCCAGCTCCTGCCAACCTAGCAGTTCGAAAGCAAGAAATTGCAAGTAGATAAATAGGTACTACTTCAGTGAGAAGGTAACAGCATTCCGTGCGCCTTGGTGTTTAGTCATGCCAGCCACATGACCACGGAAACGTCTTCAGACAGCGCTGGCTCTTCGGCTTTGAAACGGAAATGAGCACCGCAACCCTAGAGTCGGATTTGACTGGCTTTTGAGCAAGGGAACCTTTACTTTTACCTTTACTTTTGCATACAAGAGCCCCAGAAGCACATCTGCATTAGGGCATCTCTACCCCTGCATGATGGCTTAGTGCTAAGCCAGAAATATGAATGAAGTTATTCCACAAACACACATTCTCAAAAAAGGTACCGAGTGTGAATGGGAGACACACAGCCCTCCCAAAGCAGCACTGCCCAGTTTGCATGGCACAAGCTACCGCCATTGTTCCCTCTAAGCTGTGGAGTCCTGTTAGCAAAAATTCAACTTTGTGAGCTACTGGCATTAAAGTTGTGAGCAGGTGATTTGGCTACTGCATAAATTATTTGTGAGCCAGGGGCTAAAAAACTGTGAGCTAGCTCACACTAACTCAGCTTAGAGGGAACACTGGCCATGGTTGGTCATTTTATTATCACCATCTGCTGTGTAGACTGAGGACCTGTATGTCTGGGGGAGATCAGCTACACCCATTCTTCCATGATCAGCCATCCAACACCACCCCCCCCCACCCCCCCCCCAATCTCTGGTGCAAATGTACAGAAGTCTTTGGGAACTGTACACACAAGCTGTGATTCCAGAGCATTACTGTTATGTCCGCTGACCGCCACTAGGTGACAGCGATGTTCACCAGAGCTTAACTCTCAAGAGACAATAGGGACTAGGATCCTGAAACCTCAAGCAGTCACCAATAGGGACTTTGGTGGGAAGTTTAAACCCACCAATGGGACCTGGGGGTGGTCCACGGGGACTGTATATAGTTAGCCATATGGCCAGTATTTTCTGTCTGTTGTGTACCAGTAAACTATGAGCTGATAATCACGCTGTTTCCTGATTCTTCAATGTGTCGAACCCACTACACAACAATTACCATTCCACAAACTATAGTGGATGCTCCTTTTCACAGGGAACGTGGGCTACACTGGCTCACCCAATGAATCACTCCCACATAAAGCAAAGCAAAACTCTTACCAGAGCCATGATGGCAGAGTTGTCCCCTTCCATACTTTATCTACTGATTTGCACTTGATTGTGTTTTTGACTTGCATGTGGCTCAGAGAAAACTGCTAAGGTGCCTAAAAACAGAGGGCTTGGGATCTAGGGACCATTGTATAGTCCTTTGGCCACAGTTTGCCTTTCCTGTACTTCTGCACAGATACAATAGAAATAGTCCATTAGGACAAACCTTGATGTACGATCCCATTTCTGCTGACATTGATGGCTATCCTGAGGTGTGTTGGCAGGTGGGAGAAGCGCTTTTACGCATGCTGAATAATGCAGTTTCAATCCACTTCAGTGACCATTTGCAAGTGGATTTTGCCATTTCACACAGTAAAATCCAGCTGCAAAGTGCATTGAAAGTGGATTGAAACTGCATTATTTAGTGTGATTGAAAGTTCCCAATATTGTTTCTGCCTGGCTTGGATTATGCCTTCCTTGATACTGCTTGGCTAAGAGTATTGTATAAACAGAAACCATTACCACACTTAAGCCTAAAAAAGCAGAAAACACCACACTCACCTTTGCCACCTGGTGCGGGGACCTGGACCCTGCTTCATAGAACTTGTACCTCTGCTTTAGCGCAGTACAGATAGTCCATTGTGTCTTCATTGTGGGTTTGGCAACAGGTTCATTAAGGCTGTCCCGCTTCTTGAGCTGTTACCTTCAGAAAAATCTCAGTCTGAGGCCTCACCTTTTGTTCCTGTCTTTTCCGCAGTGCCCTATGGCAGAAAGCCAGGATCAAGGCATTTGACCTGAGATTCCCGTTCCGGCTGCTGTGGCCTGCTACTCCATCTGTTGGCCAACTCCTGCACTAGAGCGAGGTGGGATGAGAGAAAGAGAGAGGGAGAAAGAACGGAAGAACAGTCAGCAGATTAACATTAATCCTCCAGCTTTGCTCACTTCCAGCCAGACAAGAACAGTCACCGGACTAAGAACAGACTCCTTGGTCATCGTTTCACCCTTTGTTTGAGGAGGGAGGCCCAGATTGTCATCCACACTCTGCATTCCTGAAGGACCTAGCCTACAATCAACAAATCAGCCTGGGACCTCCATGAAAGTTGTGAGGACAAAGGAAAAGGGTGTAAGTTAGATTCCCACTCCCTACTGGAAACCCAGAAGTTCCATGACAGGTGGGTCTTCGTTCTTTGACTAGCCAGAAGAAGAAGGGCAGAAGGGCGAAAGGATAACACAAATGATGGGGAGAGGTCCTGGAGTGTGACTGACCTCTGAGACGTGTACCCCACATCATCACCACTGCCCAAGTGAAGCCCATCTGATCTGAGGGACAGAATACACAGTTTCTGAGAGAGGGCTTCAAAGAGGCTAAGAGATGAGTCTTGGGAAGCTGCCAGTAATCAGTTGGGTATCCGGCTCCCACAACAAGCGGCGCCTGAAAGGAGATCTTACACCAGACATGATCAGTCCACCACTGGGGGACTTCCGCCATACCATGCATGTGGGACGTGGTGGAGATGCCTTTGGGGACACTTCCTTCCTCAGAAACCATGGTGGCGAGGCAGCCAAACCCAATAACTTCTTTGCCCGGACACTCAGGCACGTAAGGAAGAGCCCACTAAGGAACCGGGGAAGCAGAAGTAATGATGAGGCCTCGCCGACACCTCCTGCCATCTCGCCTATCATCAAGAATGCTATATCACTGCCACAGCTCAATGAGGGTAACTACGGGAATGATGGCTGTGGTGTAAACTTTGCCTTCAAGAGCACACCTAACAGCTTCTCTGACTATGGTAGGTAGCCCCTGAGGTGGGTTGATTAGGTTGTCTTTCTTTCAGATGTTGTTATTAATATTATATTAGCACTATAAATGTGTATGGTGCTGTACAGAATACAAGGCAGGACTCTTCCCAAAGGAGCTTACGGTCTAAATTCTGAGATAAGGAATGTCACAAGAAATGTAAAGGCAGGGAAATATAGAGAAAGGAAAATGTGTTTGTTTCAGTTTCTCATGCTTAGGTTTAGCTTGGGTAGTGAACAGGGACTATGGAGTTGTGCCCAAGGTTGAATGAAAATATTGACCTTTGTAGTGCCTCAGTTTTCTTAGGTATACATAGGAACTAATTCATTCTGTCTCCCACACACACACACACACAACACATGCATACATACACTAATGCATCTTTCTGAAATGTCATTTCGGTACACATAGTGCAGAGCAGTACTGAATATGCTTATGGGAAGCACACTGAGCTTGATAACAATCATCAAAAGATATCTTTCATAACGAGGCTGGTCTCTGTTGCACTTTCTGTGACTCCACCAATGGATCGTCAGTGGTCTTTTACTCACGACACAATCCTACCGCTTGCTGTTCTGGCAAAACGGTACTTCAGATGAGGCATTCTGGCCCTGGTGTCATTGCAGTGACCTATAAACAACAATGTTAATGACAACCTTTCAGAGTTATTCCAGGATCATTTTAGGCAAACATGTCTGTACAAATGTTTAGGGCTTGAAGTCTTCTAGGGAGAGTAGGAGAGAGTTCTGTGTAGGATGAGGCTTTCTGACTGAGAAGTACCTCTTCAAGGCTCCCAGAGTGTTTTCAAGTGTCCTTTTTCTTTAATCTCAGCCAAGTAGTAGCAAAGCATTTACGGATGTTTTGCTGATCTCATCCACATCTTTGTAATGGATGTTAGATTGTATTTTGAATCTTATTATCTTATTGTGGTGATGTACAAGTGGTGATATTTTTGTCCTCGCATTCAGTCCCAGCATGCATTTGAGCATTCTGGAACTATAACAAGAGGCAAGGAATAACTACATAATTTTTCCCCCCCGATCTGCTCAGTTCTCCACAGTGGCCTGAAGTGGGAAGTTTGGTAACAAAACAAAAGAAGTGACAGAGTAAATGGTAAAATGTAAATATATGTGCTACTGAAAAGTACAGTAGGCTACAAGAACATTCGGCAGATAACCATGAATGTTTACAGGAGTCCTAAGCAGTGCAGTTCTAAGCGGAGTTACACCTTTCTGTCCGCTGTAGTCAATGGGAAGAAGGGTGTAACTCTGCTTAGGAATGCACTATGTCACCTAATGGTTTAACATGGGGTCAGTACAGTTCATAGGAGTCTCATATGAATTTCCCCATTGCTGTGACCCTACCACTTTTGATTCTTTTCTGTTGCTTCATTGTTCACTTTGGTACTATCCACTTTAATCTAAAGTGCTCTCAAGTTAGTAAGTCTTCACTGGGATTTCTTAAACAATACTGCTTGGCAAGAGAGAGGGAGACTAGCTTTGCAAGAGCTGGACTAATGCATTAATGAAAGCTCCTTGCAAGGTCTCGGTTTCTCTACAAGATAATGAAGAACAAGTTGGGCTTGGCAAGGAACCCTAAGCGAGCCAAGTAAGATTACATTTTGTATGCAGAGCAGTGGAGAGAGAGAGGAAAAAATCTTAATCTATTCTTCTGTTTTAACTACAAAGCATCCTAATACTTTTGGCTTTTTACAATGCATTTGGCTGGCGATGTGAGTTAAGACATTTATGAAGAAAATTGAAAACTGTTACTGGCATTATCCTCTGCATGAGTTAAGTGTTGGTAAG